AGATAGATAGATAGATAGATATCTATCTGGGGGTTGCTGACAGACAGATCTGTCACCAACCCCCAGATAGACAGATAGAGTGATAGATAAATATTCAATTCCACTTATATCTTCCACTAAGTATATTTGGAAAAATGTTTTCAGAAAGTTCCCATGTTATTATATGCAACTCCCCCTCCCCGCAAATCTCTTGGGCAATGAAAGTTGCACACACCTGGTGTGTATATGCAAACTTTCTGCCATACATCTTTTGAATGTTGGTCAAAAGGAACTCCTTGCTGTCCTTTAGCTTGGAGCTTAAAGGCAAGAGGGAAGCTCCCACTGATCTTCTAAGCTCAGAGGGGTTCCATTCTAAGCAGGAGTAGTACCTGATTTTTGGAGAGTAATTGGAAAAGGCTAACAAATGTTGTGGAGATACTGTATTATTATTGTTGGTCGCACAGTCAGCCAGTTGTTTAGACTGGATTTGGCATTTTTATCCATCTATTGAGTCCTTCCCAAAGACCTGGGAGAGGCAGATGTTGTTGTTTGATGGTGTTAAAAGTATCATCGCAGAATGTAAACTGTTCCAAGTAAAGCTGCCTTTTGCAACTGACTGATGGTGATTTTGTCAAGGCCGATGGTCTTCATGTGGTGTTCTGGGATCGTACCCAAGGCACCTATTGCTATTAATACTATCTTTACTTTCTTTTGCCACAGTCAATCTATTTCTATTTGCAGGTCTTTGTATTTTGTGGTTTTCTCCAGTTCTCTTCTCTTCTGCTGTCTCCAGATATTGCAATGTCCACTATCCAGACTTTTTTGTCTTTCTTACCAACAATTGTCAAGTCTGGGATGTTATGTGGCAGGTGCTTGTCTGTTTGAATTGTTGTTGTTGTTGTTATTATTATTATTATTTTATAGCAGAGTAGGACATATTTTGGGGTTGGAGACACATTTGGTAGTTTGAGAAGATGTGGGTGCACTCATAAAATTAGTGCTGTGGAAGGGTTGCCTACGTATGACATGCTTACCATGAAGGGTGTGGCCAGTTACACTGACCAGAAGACAAACTAACTCCAAGGTGATGGCTTCTTTGTCCAGTCCAAAAACATTCCTGAAAATAAATATGATGCTAATGGTAATTTGCTTTGCATGTTTAATTTTCATACCACAAAAAGTTAACAATGGAGTCTGATCATAATAATGCCTGCAGGCCCACATAGGCTTTCCTCTGGAGTAGAAAACATATTATTCTTGAACAGCATTATGATCTTTGTGTCCTTGGCAGATGGCTGTCTATCAGAAACAAGGTAAAATTAAGAGGATTCATCCATTGGGTCAGAAATGTGGAGAAAACTATCCTCCACGAAGACTGTAAAGCTAGCACAGTTTGGACTGAAGTTTTCTGCCTTTAAAGCCGAGGGATTGTCCAAGCTTGAGTTAAAACAGTACATAATGCTCATTGGAGAGGCACTAAAAATATTAGATCTCTTCTATAACTTGCCTTACATCGCATAGCCTAGAAATGGTTATTGTACTGTGTTCCAGTTTCTTCTTTCCACTTCTTTCACATGAAGGTAAGTGGTTTGAAGTATGCCGGTCTTGGAAAAGCATGTTCAACTTCCTTTTTCAAGCAAGCATGAAAAGGAAACACAACTAAAATCAGATATGC